TTGTTTTGTTGATGTTTTCCTTTTGCTGTGTAAAAGTGCCTAACTTTGATTAGGTTCCATTTGTTTATTTTTGCTTTTGTTTTCCTTGCCTGAGGAGACTGATTCAAAAAAATATTATTAAGACAGATCAAAGAATGTACTACTTGTGATGTGTTCTTCCAGGAGTTTTATGGTTTTCAGTCTTACATGTAGGTCATAATTCATTTTGAGTTTATTTTATGGTGCGAGAAAATGTCCTAACTTAATTCTTTTACGTGTATCTGTCCAGTTTTCCTAACACCACTTATTGAAGAGACTATCTTTCCCCCATTGTATATTTTTGCCTGCTTTGTGGTAGATTAATTAATTATGTGTGTATGGATTTATTTCTGGCTCTCTATTCTGTTCCATAGATCTATGTGTCTGTTTTCATGCCAATACATCATACTGTTTTGATCACTCTAGCTTTATGGTATAGTGTGAAGTCAGGGAGTGTGATAGTTCTAGCTTTGTTCTTTTTCCTCAAGATTGCTTTTGGTATTTGGGGTCTTTTGTGTTTCCATATGAATTTTAGGATTTTTTGCTCTAGTTCTGTGAAAACTGTCATGGTTACTTTGATAGGGATTACATTAAATTTGTAGATTTGCTTTGAGGAGTATGGATATTTCTAACAATATTAACTATTACATGATTCAGCAATTCCACTCCTAAGTATATACCTGCAGAAGACACTAATCAGAAAAACTGTATGTACCTCAATGCTCATAGCAGCATTATTTACAATAGCCAAGATATGAAAGAAATCTCTGTTTCCATCAACAGATGAATGGATAAAGAAGATGTAGTGTGCAGTGATAAGTCATTTTGATATCATGCACCTTAATATGATGCCACAATAATAACACTCCATCTTTGTGATATTATTTTTGAAAATTTATATTCCCTGGCCTAATTTTGAGAAAACATCAACTTCAAAATGAGGGATTTTCTACAAAATATATGACCAGTACTTTTCAAAATTTTCAAAATCATGAAAAACAAAGATTAATTTGTCAGATTGAAGAGGATGAAGAAGACATGATGACTAAATGCAACATAGGATTTCAGCAGATAAAAGACACTAATGGAAAAAGAGGGATCCCTGAATAAAATCAGTAGTTTAATTTTAAAAAAAGAAGATATGTTGTGTATGTGTATGTATATACACACATACATACACATACACAACACATACAATGGAATACTGATCAACCATAAAAAAGAATGAAGTTCTGCCATTTGCAATAATGTGGATGGATGGGATGGTATTATGCTTAATGAAGTCAGAGTGAGACAGACAAATACTGTATGTTTTTACTTAAATGCAGTATCTAAAAAATATAACAAACACGTTAATACAACAAAACAGAAACAGATTCACAGATACAGAGAACAAACTGTTACCAGTAGGAAGGGGTGGGAGGGCAGGACAAGAGAGAGGAAGGGAATTAAGAGACACAAATTATTAGGTGCAAAATATAAAAGCTATAAAGATATAATGTACATCACAGGGATTATAGCCAATATTTTATTTTATTTTTATTTTTTATTTTTTATTTTTTTTACACTTCTGAAGGAAAAATGAATTTATTGTTATCCTTTATAAAATGTTCTCTGAATCTGCCCTCTTGTGGTTATCGAAAATGTCAAATCTTTATGGAACATGGTCCATTTTCCAAGGTGGTTTTGGGGGGAAGCTAAACAATGAGTTCCTATGTATTTCTAAGTCTTTAAACCGTTTGTCAAGTTACTTTAAAAATGGATCTTACACCTGAATTTATGCAACATCTTGCTTTTCATCTTGGATTTATACTAAACCCAAGGCTCCATTTTATACAACTTAAAGTTATCAGTTAAAAAAAAAACAACAAAAAACACTAACCGAAACTCACACAACACATCCAAGTCATGTTCTCATTGCCTCTTTGTTCAGGTCTTTATTCAAAATTAGCTGTCCAAAATGATTTGGCATTTATGGAATAAACAAATAAGTTTATGCAGCAGCCTTCTTTTCCTCTGAGGTGGGTTTCTTTTCTGTGGGCTTCTTCTCAGCTGCTGGTTTCTTGGTTCCTGCAGCCTTTTTTCCCACCACAGGCTTCTTCAGCTTCTTATCGCCAACAGCCTTCTTTTCTTTGTTTCCCACCACAGGCTTCTTGCCCTCAACCCCCTTCTGATCTGATTTGGCTTCTAGTGCTGCTGCTGCCTTATCCATGCGGATTTTGTGATTCTTGGCCTGTCGAAGAATGGTGTTCCGGCGCATGGTCTTTGCGTATGGGTTGAGCTTCAACATGTTCTCAGGTTTTTCAGTGGATTCTTCTTCAGGACTCTGCGATGAATCTTCTTGCGTGGTGCTCGGAGTGCTCTTTGGATTTCTGGGCTTTTCAAGATTCTGCTAAGGTCTGTATTGAGCATCTTGTGCATGGGGAGGTTGTAGTTACTCTTGAGGGAGGCTGCTTTACGCCAAGTGCCGTATAGCTCATCTAACTTTCGGAAAGCACTTTCAGTCCAAATGCAGAAACGTCCCACATGACCACCAGGAGCAAGTTTCAAAATGTTCAGCTTGCTTACATTAAGCAGAGTAATTCCAGGGATGTTTCTGAAGGCCTTGATGATACCATTGTCTTCATTATAGATGATGCAGGGTCCCCTGCACTGGATACGGCGACGGTTTCTCATTTTGCCTTTGCCAGCTCTCATTCGCTGAGAGGCGTAAACCTTTTTGATATCATTCCAGGCCTTACGTTTCTTCAGAAGCAAAACAGCCTCCTTGGTCTTCTTGTAGCCTTCAACTTCATCTTCAACCACCAAAGGAAGTTCAGGAACTTCCTCTATACGATGACCTTTAGACATGACCAGGGCTGGTAAGGCTGAGGCAGCCAGTGCAGAGCAGATAGCATATCGCTTCTGTGTTGTATTCACTCTGCGGTGCCAACGTCGCCAGGTCTTGGTTGGTGCAAACATGCGGCCCCCACGACACATATTTCCAAAAGCACCCTGACCAGAACGGTGAGTGCCGCCACCTCGAACCCTGGGAATTCGAGCCACAGCTCTGCTGGTACCCCAAGACTCAGCACTGGTTTGATGACCTGCTAATTCACTGACAGCATAGGGCTGTCTGTTGTTTTTGCGCAAGTTGGTGTGAACAAAGTTAACAATATCGGGTCGAATGGGAGCCTTGAACACAGCAGGCAAAGTGACATTTTTGCCAGAGGACTCCCCCTTTTTGGAGTACACTGATATCAGTGGACGAGCACACGCCATGGCGGGGAGAGGAGAAGGCCACGCTCCTCTCAACCCGGCGGCTCCCACAGGAAAAGGCCCAATATTTTATAATAAATTTAAATAGAGTATAATCTATCAAAATGTTGAATCACTATGTTGTATATCTTAAACTAACATAATATTGTGAATCAACTATACTTTGATTAAAAAACCCCATTGGGATTTTATATTTTATATAAAGATATAGGTATATAATATAGAAATATATACAATAAAAAATATAAATGTGTATATATTATTTTAGAATAATTGATATCTTTGTTTCAGTAAATCTTGAGAAATTTTTCCATCTCAGAGCAGTGGTTTATAATCCATTAACTTCTGCCATTGAGGGGATATCCTCAGTGAAAAGAAAAGAAGGAAGGTGATCCAGTTTAATATCTTTGTCAGTTGGTTCTCTAGTTAATGATAAAGAAGAGTCTTTATGCTTGAAATGCCCTTAGCAATATGTCTCTGGCTGAGAATTATCTGTAGCAAATAGCACCCATGAGCTGTAAGGCATGGTTCCCTGAATAATGTCACAAAGACTATACAACTTTCTGGAGATGCTTCATAATTTAAATGCTCCTACTGTGTGAGGTGATTTATAGAGACTTCATTTATTCTCAACCAGAATAGCATGTCCAACATGGGAAGGAAGAAACTATGGAGTTGCCCTTGACATTTCAGACCTCTATTTTTTTTTTTTAATAATGCTTTTATCCTAGACATCATTTGGTGAAGCTTGACACTAGGTAAGATCTCTGATTTATGTCAGTCTGATTTAACAATCTGAACCTGAGTGTTAGTTTACAATTCAAGAACATGAATTAACCTTTTATGTTCCTTAATAAGATTTTACTCTATATAGATCCTACTTTTTGTAAAATGCATTCTTAGATAGTTGGTGGGTTTTCTTGAAGTTATAAATCAAGTATTTTTCCTATTTGGTCATTGTAAGCTTTGGAAAAGCCACTGAGGTTTGTATATTTATTTTGTATTTAGTTAACTGAACCAAAATGGTTTATCTAAGACCCAATAGGGCTTCCCGGATGGTGCTAATGGTAAAGAACCCACCTGCCAAAACAGGAGACATAAGTGGCACAGGTTCGATTCCTGGGTCAGGAAGATCCCCTGGATGAGGAAATGGCAACCCACTTCAGTATCTTTGCCTGGAGAACCCCAAGGACAGAGGAGCCCAGCAGGCTACAGTCCATGGAGTTGCAAAGAACTGGACACAATTGAAGCGACTTTGCATGTATAAGACCCAGTAATTATGATAGATTTCTTTTAGTTTGTGTGCTGTGTTTCTTAGATACACAATCATATCATCTGAAACTAAGAACTGGACACAACTGAAGCGACTTTGCATGTATAAGACTCAGTAATTAGATTTCTTTTAGTTTGTGTGCTGTGTTTCTTAGATACACAATCATATCATCTGAAACTAAAGGTAATATTGTCTCTTTCTCAGTATTATTTCATCCCATTTCCTCACTGACGTAGCTAGAATCCTTAAAACAATGTTGAATGACAGTAACAATGGTTGGCATTTGTAGCTTTTTCTTTTGTAGCTTTTTCTTTTTCTTTCTAAGTTTAGGGTACTTAAAGGTTTTAAACTTTTATGTTATTACCAACTAAATCTAGTTTTAGAAATTCTCAGCTGTAAGACATGGAGAAAACTCCCTTTGGAGACTGACAATGCTATTTACTATTCATACCATCAACAGGTAGATTTTCATTTAGCCATTCAAATTCTTTTTCAGTGAGTTTGATATCCATTTTTTCTAGAAGTGGTCTCAAGTTGCTGATGTCACCTTTTCCTCCTTAAGAAAGAGAGGAAAGTAACATGAAAGCCACTGAATGATCTAAAACATGAAAAACACATTTGTCTTTAAATGTCTTTCATGAGTATGTATAAGTATTATAATAAAAGAGACAACAAAAAATAAAATTTGCATGTTTGTATTGTTATTGCCATTTCTGATAAGAAGACTATAGCTTCCATTTGACTTTTCCAAGAGCACAGAGAAAGCCAACAGGTACAATGAGAATGGAACACATTTCCTTAAAACTTATGCTGGTGACAAGTCTACATAGAGAAGACATTCTCAAGAAGGTTATTGGGCCAAATGGTAACTGGACCTGGAGAATCCTCATCTATTACTCCCAGTAGTCCTAACTTACTGTACAAAATAGTTTTATTTACTTATTTTTTTGGATCAGGCTCCAAAATTGGCTGTTGTTGTTGCTGAACAACTTTTCTAAATTCAATGGTGAGGCTATTCCTGCACTTCAATTTTTATTTGCAAAATTACATACCAATTATTTACCTGGGAGCAATATTAGAAAAGTTCCATGTATGGTATTTCCTATGAAGATAATACTATACACATCATTTCTGTGTAAAATGAAAATACACTGAAAGAAGCAAAAATAATGAATAAAAATATAAAGAAGGATAAAGGATTCAAAATCTTAGGAAAAGACTGAAGATATCAGACAAAAGAATCAATACATTACAATTCTTACTTCTGAAAGACATCACATCCTTTAGTGCTCTCTTTGTATGCACCTTTCCATCATCTGTTAAAAAAGGGGGTTTGGATTATGATACAGGGAAATTGATAATGGAATTCACAAAACATAATTTATCTCTTATATTTAAGAAGAAGAAGAATTTGTCCTAGAATACTTTTATCTGTTTTACCTTGAAGTAGTAATAACATTAAGGAATACTAAAATCTTTAAATATACAAACCTATTCACACTTTGTCCCACAAAGCCATTTTTTTTTTGTAGAATTCTACCATGCTGAATATACATGCTCAAGTTCTTTAAAAAAGTGTTTCATGTCCATTTATAAGTCTATTTTCATATTAGGTGGTCTTTTTATTTAAAAAAAATCTTTAAAAAGTTCTTAATTATCTCTCTGTTACACTTGTTGCAAATAATTTCCAAAGTTGGTATTTGCTTTTTATCTCATGTAGAAGTATTAAATCTTGTCAATTTATTAATTCTGGATGTTGAGTGTTAATATTTCTGTAGTTGATTCAGGAAAAAAGAATGTATGTATGTGTGTATATTTATTGGAGGGAGAGGGGTGTGGATAGAGACAGAGAGAAAGTATGGATAAATGATAAAGCTAATGGGCAAACTGTAAACAAATTGTGAACCTGGGTAAAGGGTAGGAGGGAGTTCTCTGTACTCTTCTTAAAACTTCTCTAAAAATTTAATATTATATTTAAATAAAGTTAAAATGCTAGAAGTCAAAAAATCCAACCATCTAAAAATATTAAAATTATTTTGGAAGTAACATTTGGGTCTAAGAGAAAAAATGAAACTGTAAGCTAATTAACAATGATGATAATAAGAACTATATATCTGATCCCATGAAATAAGGCTAAAGCAACTAAGATGAAAACAGTCAACCATTCAACTTCAAGAATAATAGAGAATGAAAATGTCCTAAAGACAGAAAAAGGAACTGACAAAAATTATAGCAAAGATTAATACATTAAACAAATAGTAAACAACAAATAAGTCTAAGAATTGGGTTGTTTGTAGGGTAGGAAATAATAACACAGATTAATTGCTTGGAAGTATAACTGAGAAAAAGATAAAGCATAAATACAGCAAATCAGACTGAGATTGATCAGTATCAATCTTAATCTTCTAATTGTGCTGTGATTATGTAAGAGAATTATATGCATGTGTATGTATAAATATATGTGTACATATATATATTTTTAAGACAATGAACACTAAATATAGTGTGCATTAATTAGAAGATTAAGATTGATACTGAACGAGACTAGGGAAATAATTATCAATATGGGGAAATTTTTAAAAGTTTTATGAGGATATTTTGCCATGCTCTTTGTTTTGAAGCTGGAGAGTATTACACTTCATGAAGTAAGTCGCACAGAATGATAAATACTGTATGTTTTTACTTACTGTGGAATCTAAAAAATAAGACAAGTGAATGAATAAAATCATTGCTTATCTTATCATGGCAATTTTAACTGGAAATTTCAGTGATTCTTAAACCAAAATCTACATGACACTGTCAGAGTCAGAAAGTGACAAAAATAGTACAAAGATTTCTCATATAGTCTTTACCCAGATTTTTCAAATGTTAAAATTTTACTGTATTTACTTTATCATCCTTTCTGTAGGTGCATGCTATTTTTTTTCTGAATGTTTGCAAGTGAATTTGCAGGTACAATGCCCTTAACCACTAAATTTTATATATATATAGGTATGTATGTATGTATGTATGTGTGTGTATATATATATACACACACACACACATGCATATACATGCATATAATTCTCTTACATAGTCACAGCACAATTAGAAGACTAAGATTAATACAGCACACCTAACTAATCTACAGAATTTACTCAAATTTTACTAGTTGTTCCATTAATGTCATAAATAGCAACTAAGAATCAATTTCTCATGTTTCTTTATTCCTTAACCTGGGACAATTCCTCATTCTTTTTCCATCATGATTTTCAGATTTTTGATGTGTACAACCCATTTATTTTGTACAATAGCCCTCAATCTGGGTGGTGGGCTTTTATAAATAACCCAGAGTTTAAATTTTCCAATAATTCTTAGGCATTAAATTCTAAAGCTTTATAACTTCCCTCCCAGGCTGACAAGGTCTAGTTGTTCAAAGGAAGGTTCAGCAGCAGTTTTTAGGCTTACCACTAACTGGCAGTGCTTTCATTGGCTTTGTATATTCTGTTTCTGGAAGTTCAATTCCCATATCACTCAGCACATTTTCCACGTTATTGATATTGATATTTTCACCTTTAAAAAGTTAGAAATAAGTATACTTATTAATGATGATTCCCAACTTGAGGTTGAATAGCAAAAAGCACAATGAAGCCCCCATTAGTCTTGGGGGAAATCAGAACTCTTAATTGTTTCTTCAATACTAACAAAGGTTCTTTTTAAATTCTGAGAAAAAATAAATTTATTTCTATTACTGTTCATTTAATCCACCTAGAAAGCTTATTAGGTAAGATTATATTTAATCTTATAAGAAAGTGTTACATGACTTTGTTAATAATGCAATTGTTGACTCATATACAATTACTCAATAATTCACAGTGCCATTTATTGTGCCTGCCTAGAATTTCACGCAGGGAAACATTTTATTCGGAAGGAAAGCTCTACAGTGTAGGATTTCCTATATAGATTCAGTCCTGTAAGTATATTTTGTATTGCTTTCTTTTTGCTTTCTTTTTTCCAAACTTAAATTTATGCAACAAGATAAAACTTTCCATTGGATCTAGTGGCAGGATAGCAGGAAAACATGCTAGAAAATTAAAAATTATTGTCAAACCTTAGGACACTCAGTTTATTAGTAGTTTACCACTAACCTGTGAATGCTTTCACTTCATCCACTACCTTTTTCATATCAACTTTCTCATCAACTGCAAGAAAACACACATGTTACATCTATCTATCTATCTATACACACACACACACATAACACAAAAGATGAGAAAGTAAACAAAAAAATTTTAGTACTTATCACTTGCTATAGAATTTTATTTCTCCCCTTCATTGGTATAAAATAAGGAAAAGGTTTTACATTTCACATATATAACTATATTAACAATGTGACATTGATATTTTTTGCTTTAAGATATTAAAACTTTCAGCATAAAAGAATTATATGCAAAGGAAGCCCCATTACTTTAGCTGCTTTTAAGCATTTAGATCTTGGAAAATTCTCCATTACTTAGTAGGCTACTGAGTCAAAATTTAAAAGGTGATGTATACCATATTTCACTGTTTTATGTTTGGAAATTTTCTACTCATATAAAGTTGACCCATACTCACTATTTAGTCACTATTATAATTAAGCCAAAAATAATTCATTGACTTTAAATTACATGTGCAAGTTATAAATGACTTAATACATACACAGTTGTTAATTAAAACCTTTGTATATAATAGATATTCAATGAGCTATTTCATCAGTTTTTAAAAGGACATTCAAATAGAAACATTAGAGAGACAAAATAAGCTTACTAAATCAGAATCTCAATTATATTAAGTATCAAGAAAGAGGAAAACAGTGAAACATTCTTGTGTTTTTATCTTCCAAATATTTACCTGTTGACTAACAGCAAAAATTAAAATTTGAATTATATATTACACTACTGAGAAAATACAACTATTAAGCATAATACAAAATCTGTTATAATTTCAGATGGGCATTCTGAGCTAAAAAAAAAAAAACACGGTCTTTAAAGCATACAAACATGGAGGCTAAATAACACGCTTCTGAATAACCAACAAATCACAGAAGAATTCTAAAAAGAAATCAAAATATGCATAGAAATGAATGAAAATGAAAACATGACAACCCAAAACCAGTGGGATTCAGTAAAAGCAGTGCTAAGGGGAAGGTTCATAGCAATACAAGCTTACCTCAAGAAACAAGAGGTTTACACCTCTTTAAAAGTTAAACACCTGTTTAACTTTACACCTAAAGCAACTAGAAAAAGAAGAAATGAAGAACCCCAAGGTTAGTACAAGGAAAGAAATCATAAACATTAGGGCAGAAATAAATGGAAAAGAAACAAAGGAGACTATAGCAAAAATCGACAAAGCTAAAAGCTGGTTCTTTGAGAAGATAAATAAAATAGACAAACAATTAGTCAGACTCAGCAAGAAACAAAGGGAGAAAAATCAAATCAACAAAATTAGAAACGAAAATAGAGAAATCACAAAACACAACACAGAAATACAAAGGATCATAAGAGACTACTATCAGCAACTATATGCCAATAAAATGGACAACTTGGAAGAAATGGACAAATTCTTAGAAAAGTATAATTTTCCAAAACTGAACCAGGAAGAAATAGAAGATCTTAACAGACCCATCACAAGCACGGAAATCAAAACTGTAATCAGAAATCTTCCAACAAACAAAAGCCCAGGACCAGATGGCTTCACAGCTGAATTCCACCAAAAATTTAGAGAAGAGCTAACACCTATCTTACTCAAACTCTTCCAGAAAATTGCAGAAGGCAAACTTCCAAACTCATTCTATGAGGCCACCATCACCCTAATACCAAAACCAGACAAAGATGCCACAAAAAAGAAAACTACAGGATAATATCACTGATGAACATAGATGCAAAAATCCTTAACAAAATTCTACCAAACAGAATCTAACATATTATAAAGATCATATATCATGACCAAGTGGGCTTTATCCCAGGGATGCAAGATTCTTCAATATTTGCAAATCAATCAATGTGATACATCATATTAAAAAATTGAAAGATAAAAACCATATGATTATCTCAATAGATGCAGAGAAAGCCTTTGACAAAATTCAACATCCATTTATGATAAAAATCCTCCAGAAAGCAGGCATAGAAGGAACATACCTCAACATAATAAAAGCTATATATGACAAACCCACAACAAACAATATCCTCAATGGTGAAAAATTGAAACCATTTCCCCTAAAATCAAGAAAAAGACAAGGGTGCCCACTCTCACCACTACTATTCAACATAGTTTTGGAAGTTTTGGCCACAGCAATCAGAGCAGAAAAAGAAACAAAAGGAATCCAGATTGGAAAAGAAGAAGCAAAACTCTCACTGTTTGCAGATGACATGATCCTCTACATAGAAAACCCTAAAGACTCCACCAGAAAATTACTAGAGCTAATCAACGAATATAGTAAAGTTGCAGGATATAAAATTAACACACAGAAATCTCTTGCATTCCTGTACACTAACAATGAGAAAACAGAAAGAGAAATTAAGGAAACAATTCCATTCACCACTGCAATGAAAAGAATAAAATACTTAGGAATATATCTACCTAAAGAAACAAGAGACCTATATATAGAAAACTATAAAACACTGTTGAAAGAAATCAAAGAGGACACAAATAGATGGAGAAATATACCGTGTTCATAGATCAGAAGAATCAATAGAGTGAAAATGAGTATACTACCCAAAGCAATCTATAGATTCAATGCAATCCCCATCAAGCTACCAACGGTATTTTTCACAGAACTAGAACAAATAATTTCACAATTTGTATGGAAATACAAAAAACCTCGAATAGCCAAAGCAATCTTGAGAAAGAAGAATGGAACTGGAAGAAACAACCTGCTTGACTTCAGACTATACTACAAAGCTACAGTCATCAAGACAGTACAGTACTGGCACAAAGACAGAAATATAGATCAATGGTACAAAATAGAAAGCCCAGAGATAAATCCACGTACCTATGGACACCTTATCTTTGACAAAGGAGGCAAGAATATACAATGGAGAAAAGACAATCTCTTTAACAAGTGGTGCTGGGAAAACTGGTAAACCACTTGTAAAAGAATGAAACTAGAACACTTTCCAACACCATCGGTTCAGTTTAGTTCAGTTCAGTCGCTCAGTCGTGCCCAACTCTTTGTGACCCCAGGAACCGCAGCACGCCAGGCCTCCCTGTCCATCACCAACTCCCGGAGTCCACACAAACCCATGTCCATTTAGTCGGTGATGGCATCCAACCATCTCATCCTCTGTCCTCCCCTTCTCCTCCTGCCCTCAATCTTTCCCAGCATCAGGGTCTTTTCCAATGAGTCAGCTCTTCTCATCAGATGGCCAAAGTACCGGAGTTTCAGCTTCAACATTAGTCCTTTCGATGAACACCCAGGACTGATATCCTTTAGGATGGACTGGTTGGATCTCCTTGCAGTCCAAGGGACTCTCAAGAGTCTTCTCCAACACCACACTTCAAAAGCATCAATTTTTCGGCACTCAGTTTTCTTTATAGTCCAACTCTCACATCCATACATGACTACTGGAAATACCATAGCCTTGACTAGACGGACCTTTGTTGACAAAGTAATATCTCTGCTTTTTAATATGCTATCTAGGTTGGTTATAACTTTCCTTCCAAGGAGTAAGCGTATTTTAATTTCATGGCTGCGTTCACCATCTGCAGTGATTTGGGAGCCCCCCAAAATAAAGTCAGGCACTGTTTCCACTGTTTCCCCACCTATTTGCCATGAAGTGATGGGGCCAGATGCCATGATCTTAGTTATCTGAATGTTGAGCTTTAAACCAAATTTTTCACTCCCTTTTTCACTTTCATAAAGAGGTTCTTTAGTTCTTCTTCACTTTCTGCCATAAGGGTGGTATCATCTGCATATCTGAGGTTATTGATATTTCTCCTGACAATCTTGATTCCAGCTTGTGCTTTTCCAGCTCAGCATTTCTCATGATGTACTCTGCATTTAAGTTCCATACACTAAAATAAACTCAAAATGGATTAAAGATCTAAATGTAAGACCAGAAACCATAAAACTCCTAGAGTAAAACATAGGCAAAACACTCTCTGACATAAATCACAGCAGGATCCTCTATGACCCACCTCCCAGAGTAATGGAAATAAAAGCAAAAATAAACAAATGGGACCTAATTAAACTTAAAAGCTTCTGCACAATGAAGAAACTATAAGCAAGGTAAAAAGACAGCCTTCAGAATGGGAGAAAATGATAGCAAATGAAGCAAGTGACAAAGAATTAATCTCAAAAGTATACAAGCGGCACATGCAGCTCAATTCCAGAAAAATAAATGACCCAATCAAAAAATGGGCCAAAGAACTAAACAGACATTTCTCCAAAGAAGACATACAGATGGCTAACAAACACATGAAAAGATGCTCAACATCACTCATTATCAGAAAAATGCAAATCAATACCATAATCAGGTACTATCTCACACTGGTCAGAACAGCTGCTATCAAAAAGTCTACAAACAATAAATGCAAGAGAGGGTGGGGAGAAAAGGGAACCCTCTCACATTGTCGGTGGGAATGCAGACTAGTACAGCCACTATGGAGAACAGTATGGAGACTCCTTAAAAAACTGAAAATAGAACTGCCATATGACCCAGCAATCCCACTGCTGGGCATACACACCGAGGAATCCAGAATTGAAAGAAACACATGTACCCCAATGTTCACCGCAGCACTGTTTACAATAGCTAGGACATGGAAACAACCTAGATGCCCATCAGCAGATGAATGGATAAGAAAGCTGTGGTACATATACACAATGGAATACTACTCAGCTATTAAAAGAATGCATTTGAATCAGTTCTAGGGTAGATGAAAAATTATACAGAGTGAAGTAAGTCAGAAAGAAAAACACCAATCCAGTATATTAACACATATATATGGAATTTAGATAGATGGTAATGATGACCCTATATGTGAGACAGCAAAAGAGACACAGATGTAAAGAACAGACTTTTGGACTCTGTGGGAGAAGGCGAGGGTGAGATGATTGGAGAGAATAGCACTGAAACATGTATATTATCATATGTGAAACAGATGACCAGTCCAAGTTCAATGCATGAAACAGGGCACTCATAGCTGGTGCACTGGGAGAACCCTGAGGGATGCAATGGGGAGGGATTTGGGAAGGGGGTTCAGGATGGAGGACACATGTACACCCATGGCTGATTCATGTCAATGCATGGCAAAAAGCACTACAATACTGTAAAGTAATTAGCCTCCAATTAAAAGTAATTAATTAATTAAAAAAAACAAGAACTTATCTCTGAAAAATGTAACATAAGAAATGACAAAATTGCTACTAAATGGCATCTGATTAAGATGGGGAAAAATGGATTTGTCCAGCAGTGAGATATTTCTTGGCCTTACTGGAATCTTCTAAAGTTCACATATTCTAGATTTTGTTCTTCTAGGAGGGAGTTGCTCTGTAAATAGTTACACTTCAATCTTACTTAACATTTCTTAAAAAATCAGAGCTTGTTTCCAGGTTTCCAAGAGGGAACTGTAGTCCAACATCAGCTCCTGGATAATGGAGTCTGGCAACATCATACAGGAACCTTTATAGCCTTCTAAAGGAGGAAGAACATGTTCGCTGGGTGGCCCTAATTATAGACAACTATGCTCTGTGATGAGAGTCTCTAAGGGGACAAAAAATGTGACACTGTCTTTGTGCTTCTATTTTAAACAGCTGGGGGTAGATATCTCTGCAAATTTGATGCAATTTGGGGTTAAATTTTAATCATTATGTTCAGTAGGCTTTCTTTGTTTCTCCCTTTTTTTTTTTCAATTTTACTCTTTTAATTTTGTCATATCCCATTGTCACAAGCCTTGCCTTCTACAACCTCTCCCCACTTTTTCTCTTTTTTCCTTGTCTCCCTAATGGTCCTTCAGTAATCCTGTTGACATTCTCAGCAATGTGTAGACTTCATCACACACACACAAAAAAATTAATATAAATTAATGTAAAAGTCAAGAGAAAATGTTTGCTCTTACTTCCATATTGGGTTTTCAAAGTTTTTCTAAGCAGCTTGATATCAAGTAAGCATTTTGAAGAGATCTATAATCTCACAAGCTTTCAGAGGTGCTTGATAATAATAGAAATGATTATAACAATAATATTTATCATAGTAATAAGTGACTTTATTGGACACATTATGTATAATACCAGGGACTGGTTTAATTTAATCCTCACAAAATGCTATTAGGGATGTGCTATTAATGTACTCCTTTCATGTATGAAGAAACTGAGACAGAAAAACATTAAGATGCCATAACTTTAAACCTGAAGAGTCAGAATTCAAACCCAGTCCAGTCTGGTTCTAGTGTCTGTGCCTTTAACCACTCTGCTATTTGAACTCTGAATGTTCACCATTTGATGCTCACCATCAGTCTGCAGGCTCTGTGTCAGATCTTTAAGTTCCTTTTCTGTGAGATTCATCCCCATGTTTCCCAGAACTGTGTCCAGTTTACCAACATCAATTTCCCCTCCTTAAAAAGAGACAGGGATGAGAACAAAATATAGTAATTCTAAAATGTGACAAAACTAGACAATCCAGTCAATTCTTCTGTTCAACTAAAAGGTGGTGGTTGTTATTGCTGATTAAATTTTTAGACTGGTTGGCCTCACTGTTGATCAAATTTTATGAATAAAAGAAATCTTTTATTTTTTTATGGTACAGATTCAGATTTTGATTTTTCCAAGCCCTGCCAAAGTTTGGGAAATTCCAAAGGAATATAGATTTTTCTTGAAAAAAATAACAAAATTAAATGATATCTACTTACATAAGGTACATAAAATAGGCAAACCCATAGAGACAGAAAGTAGAGTAGTGGTTACTTAGGGCGGAAGAAAGGGGAATGGGAAATTATTTTTTAATGGGCTTTTTGATAGCATTTCTGTTTGGGGTGATGAAAAGTTTCTGGATATGGATGGTGGTAACAGTTGCAAAAGGTTGTATACTTAATGTTACTGAACTAGAAATTTTATCTTATGTGTATTATACTACAACAACAACAACAAAAGGTAAATTACAGAGCACTCATCTGCTTTTTTCATTATGACTCTCCTATCTCTATGAGTCTTTATACCTTCTAGTAATCTATTCTGACAGATTTTCCTATCAGCTGTAAAAAAAACACATAATTCAGGAAAAAGAGAAATCAGTCACTAAGATGGTTTAAAAGTCATTTTAGAATTATGGCTTTAAAAATTTTCCATATACATCAAATTATAAAAACATTACAAACAAAAACATACTTTCAAAGTCTGATCTTTGGGGACTTTCCTGGTGGTCCAGTGGTTAAGACTCCATGCTTCCAAAGTAGGGAACATGGGTTTGATCCCTGATCAAAGTCCCACATGCCATGTGGTACAGGCCTCCCCTTCCCAAACAAAAGTGATCATATTCTCTTTGAATTGTAAAGCCAGTATTATTATTATTCTACCATGCCAAAACATGCGGTCTTTTAATTCCTCCTTTTACTTTTCTCATTTGGATTTCTGGAGAAGGGAATGGCAAACTGCTTCAGCATTCTTGCCTTGAGAAACCCATGAGCAGTATGAAAAGGCAAAAAGATATGACACTGAAAGATGGGCCCCCCAGGATGGTAGTTGTCCAATATGCTCCAGGGGAAGAGCAGAAAAATCGCTCCAGAAAGAATGTAGAGACTGAGCCAAAGCAGAAATGATGCCCAGAAATGATGTCTGATGGTGAAAGTAAAGTCTGATGCTGTCAAGAACAATATTGCATAGAAACCCGGAATGTCAGGTCCATTAATCAAGGTATATTGGATTGGTCAAACAAGAGATGGCAAGAGTGAACACTGACATTTTAGGAATCAGTGAACTAAAATGGACTGGAGTGGGTGAATTTAATTCAGATCAACATTATATCTACTACTGTGGGCAAGAATCCTTTAGAAGAAATGGAGTAGCCTTCATAGTCAATGAAAGAGTTCAAAATGCAGTACTTGGGTGCAATCTCAAAAACAACAAAATGATCTTGGTTTGTTTCCAAGGCAAACTATTCAACATCACAGTATATCTAAGTCTATGCCCCAACCCCTAATGCCAAAGAAGCTGAAACTGAATGGTTCCATGAAGATATATAAGACCTTCTAGAACTAACTCCAAAAAAAGATGTCCTTTTCATCATAGGGGACTGGAATGCAAAAAATACGAAGTCAAGAGATACCTGGAGTAACAGGCAAGTTTGGCCTTGGAGTACAAAATGAAACAGGACAAAGGCCAACCGATTTTTGTCAAGAGAACACACTGGTCATAGCAAACACCCTCTTCCAACAGCACAAGAGACAACTCTGCACATGGACGTCACCAGATGGTTAATACTGAAATCAGATTGATTACATTCTTTGTAGCCAAAGATGGAGAAGCTCTATACAGTAAGCAAAAACAAGACTGGGAGCTGACTGTGGCTCAGATCCTGAACTCCTTACTGCAAAATACAGACTTAAATTGAAGAAAGTAGGGAAAACCACTAGGCCACTCAGGTATGACCTAAATCAAATCCCTTATGATTATATGGTAGAAGTGACAACTAGATTCAAAGGATTAGATCTAATAGACAGAATGCCTAAAGAACTATGGACAGAGGTTTGTAACACTGTATAGGAGACAGTGCCCAAAATTATCCTCAAGGAAAAAGAAATGAAAGAAGGCAAAATGGTTGTCTGAGGAGGCCTTACAAATAGCTGAGAAAAGAAGAGAAGTGAAAGGCAAAGAAGAAAGGGAAAGATAAATTAATCTGAATGAAGAGTTCCAAAGAATAGCAAGGAGAGATAAGAAAGCCTTCCTCAGTGATTAATGCAAAGAAATAGAGGAAAACAATAAAATGGGAAAGACTAGAGATCTCTTCAAGAAAATTGGAGATATCAAGAGAACATTTCATGCAATGATGGGGATGATAAAGGACAAAAGAGTAAGGACCTAAGAAAAGCAGAAGAGATTAAGAAGAGATGGCAAGAATACACAAAAGAACTATACAAGAAAGGTCTTAATAATCTGGGTAAACATGATTGTGTGGTCACTCACCTAGAGCCAGATATCCTGGAGTGTGAAATCAAGTGGGCCTTAGGAAGTATCACTACGAACAAAGCTAGTGGAGGTGATAGAATTCCAGTTGAGCTTATTTCAAATCCTTAAAGATGATGCTGTTAAAGTGTTGCTCTCAATATGCCAGCAAATTTGGAAAACTCAGCAGTGGCCACAGAGCTGGAAAAGGTCAGTCTCCATTCCAGTCCCAAAGAAAGGCAATGCCAAAGAAAGTTCAAACTACCGCACAATTGCACTCATCTCACATGCTAGCAAAGTAATGCTCAAAATTCTCCATGCCAGGCCTCACTAGTACATGAACCAAGAACTTCCAGATATTCAAGCTGGATTTAGAAAAGGCAGAGGAACCAGAGATGAATTTGCCAACATCTGTTAGATCACAGAAAAAACAAGAGAATTCCAGAAAAACATCTACTTCTGATTCACTGACTACACTAAGGCCTTTGACTGTGTGGATCACAATGAACTGTGGAAAATTCTTAAACAATGGGAATACCATACCACTTTACCTGCCTCCTGAGAAACCTGTATGCAGGTCAAGAAGCAACAATTAGAACCAGACATGGACCAATTGACTGGTTCCAAATTGGGAAAGGAGTACCTCAAGCCTGTATATTCTCACCCTGCTTATTTAACTTCTATGCAGATTACATCATGCAAAATGCTGGACTGGACGAAGCTCAAGCTAGAATAAGATTGCAAGGAGAAATATCAAAAACCTCAGATATGCAGATGACACCAGCCTTAGGCAAGAAAGTGAAGAGGAACTAAAGAGCCTCTTAATGAAAGTGAAAGAAGAAAGTGAAAAAGCTGGCATAAAACTCAACATTCAGAAAACTAAGATCATGGCACCTAGTCTCATCATTTCATGGCAAATAGATGGGGAAAAAATGGAAACAGAGGAAGATTTTATTTTCTTGGGCTCCAAAATCACCGAGGACAGTGGCTGCAGCCATGAAATCAGAAGACACATGCTCCTTGGGAAGAAAAGCTATGACAAACCTCGATAGCATATTAAAAAGCAGAGACATAGTTTTGCTGACAAAAGTCTGAATGGTCAAATCTTTGGTATTTCCAGTAGTCATGTACAGGTGTGAGAGTTGGACATAAACAAGGCTGAGCACTGCAAAATTGATGCTTTTGAACTGTGGTGCAGAGGAAGACTCTTGAGAGTCCCTTGAACAGCAATGAGATCAAACCAGTCAATCCTAAATAAAATCAATCCTGACTATTCATTGGAAGGGCTGAAGCTGAAGTTCCAATACTTTGGCCACCTGATGCGAAGAGCCAACTCATTGGAAAAGACCCTGATGCTGGGAAAGATTGAGGACAAGAGGGGAAGGATGTTACAGAGGATGAGATGGTTGGAAGGCATCATTGACTCAATGGACAAGAGCTTGAGCAAACTCTGGGAGATAGCGAAGGACAGGGAAGCCTGGCTTGCTGCAGTTCATGGAGTCATGAAGAGTTGGACACAACAGAATGACTGAATATTCACACTCCCTTTTTCTTAAAGTTCCTCTCTTAAAACCAAGTATTCCAGTAGAATTAAGAGTAATGGCAGGTATTTCTCAGCACTTACTCATAATAATGGTATGTTTCTTGATTTTCAAATGAAGAACTAAATTATGCAATTAAGATTTCTTAATTTTTGACAAATTTTTTCTTCGAGTCTCAAATGGAATAGACATTCTTACTTAAACACACAAATCTAAGTTTTCTTAAAGGTTTTACTGCAAAGTTTCTTAACAGCAGCACTACTAACATTTTGGATAATTCTTTGCTGTATGGGTCTGTCCTATGCATTAGATGTCGTCTATCCACCAGATGCCAGTGACACTTCCCCCTCCTCCACCAAGTTGTGACAACCAAAAACATTTCCAGACACTGTCAAATGTTTCTTCAGGAGCAAAACTGTCCCCTCTTGGGAACCACTGTTACAGTGATATTTGAAATGCTTACCATCAACTGATAACTTTTTCAATAACTCCAAGTGTTCCTTATCTGAAAATTGTATCCCCATGTTTTCCAGAATGCCTTCTGTGTCAGAGATATCAATGTCCTCCCCTACAAATAATAAGAATTAGAAAATGTAAGAATTTTAAAAATTACTTGAAGATTTAAAATTTAAAAATAAATAATATTTTCCTATGTAGCACTGACTTCAGTTATTGAATCAAGAGCAAAGCTTCATCACAAACATATGTGAAAGGTATTATCTCCTAATCATGTGGACAGGATAATATAGTATACAATAGAATGTAGGGATATAAAGTACATGATAAATTAGAATATTTTAGATGTTTGATCTTTAGTTATTGAATGAAATTTGTGTTGGTCTTTACATGATTACCTATATAAGTTGAAGCTTCACCTCATCTACAGTGCTTCATCTACACCTATACTTTGGTCATTTAAACTAATATGTGATATTTATAAACTCATATGAAATATGTTGTTGACAAATGCTTCGTAGAATAAAATACTTCTTACCGAGATGCTGCACCAAAGCACTGTTATTAAAATATAGATTATCCAAAGTTCAACCAACTCTGGAAAATTTGATAAATACCACTCATTAATAAAAAGGAAAAATGTCTAAATCAACAATAATGATGAAACAGTTATGACAATGCTATGATTTAAAAAATCATGAAATATAATTTAGTATAATAATTTATTTTCTTAGATTTAGAGTATTTGTCACTCACCTATAACAGTTTTTACTCCATCCATTAACTTATTGAGAACAATCTTTCCATTAGCTATTCAAAAAGGTACAATTAATACAAATGATTGAGATTCAGGAAAAAGGTATAAAATACTTGTTTATAGCTCATAGTTAAAATCAACTATTTTTATTTTATGGTACTTTATAAACATATATTAATTTATAATTTACCAGATTTCAATAATTCACCCAATAATATTAAGAACCAACTGTTTCCTAGATTATAAGGATTCTCTAGCTTATATGAAGCTATACACTCCTGCATAAGGAGATCAAGATATGATTTATGCCAGCTATAAAGCTCCATCAGTGGTCACCACAAATGGAAAAGAGTCTATACTTTTCATCTTTCATTCTTTGCTAAATTTCTTTTCTCCAATATTTTCAATCACCATGACTTGCTATAAATACTTGATTTCTATACATTTGTGACATGCTTCCCCGGTGGCACTAGTGGTAAAGAACCTGCCTGCCAAGCCAGGAGACATAGAGATGTGAGTTTGATCCTTGGGTTAGGAAGATCACCTGGAGAAGGAAATGGTAACCCACTCCAGTATTCTTGCCTGGAGAATTCCATTGACAGAGGAGCCTAGCATATTACAGTCCATAGGGTCGCACAGAGTCGGCCACTACTGAAACACATTTGAGACAAGTGTTAAGGCTTTCTACCATTTCCTATCACAGGAAATTTCCTTCCTCATTATTTTTTGTCTACTGATTAATTCATTTATTAAATATGTAAAGAATTTTTAATATGAATTAGGCCATGTGGTAGGCTTTGGGGGTATGTGGCAGACATTGCTGGTTGTCTAATCATCAGCCATGACTACTTACTATTCTTTCTGCTAACAGAACTCTAATTTGGTAACCTTCCTCTAATGTGGCCATATACCTCAGGCAAGACTGGGCACTTCATAAGCCCTGGAAGTGGATTATGTCAAACTAGATTCAAAGCTAGTAGAAAGAAGGGAATAATAAATTAGGGTGTAAAGACAGATGAAATAGAGGTCAGGAAAATCAAGAAAATGAAAAGTTGACTCTGAAAAGACCAATAAAACTGACAAATCTTTAGCTAGATTGATTAAGGAAAAAGATGCAACATACTAAAATAAATAATGAAAGTGGGGACATACTACCAACCTCAGAGAAATAAAAAGGATTATGTGAGAATACTATGAATAAGTACATGCCAACAAATTAGATAGCCTAGATGAAAAGGATATATTCCTAGAAACATAAATTACCAAAATTGACTCCAGAAGAAATAGAAACAGAACTTTAACAGCCTTTTAACAAGTAAAGAGATTGAATCAGCAATTAAAAACCTCTCAACAAAAAAAAGCCTGGGACCAGTTGGTTTCATTGGTGAATTCTACTAACATTTAAAGAAAAATTAATACCAATTTTTCTCAACCTGTTCCAAAAAAATAGAAGAGAAGGAAATAATTCCTAATTCATTCTATGAGGCCAATATTACCCTAATACCAAAGGTGGGATTAGTGTAAAGTAATAGCTTAAAATAACAGAGATTCTTCAAAAGAGGACAAAAATGTTCTGGAATTAGTGACTGTACAACATTGTGAATGCACTAAATACCACTGAATTATCTATTTCATAGCAACTAATTTTATGTTATATGAATATGTGAATTTCACCTCAGTAAAACAAACAAATGTCAAAGTAGACATCATTATTCAACGGTGAAACTTTAGAAGTTTGTCCATTAAAACCACAAAAAGACAAGAAAGCCTATTTTACCTCTAGTATTCAAATTGGGCTGAAATTCCTAACACATTAAATATAACAAGAAAAAGAAATAATTGATTTTAAATATCTTCGTAAGGTTGTGGGAAACCAGATCAACACTGGAAAGTCATCAAGAGTCTGCGAATACCACAATACTAATTTTAATACATATTCAATTAAAATCCAAATGGTATTAATCATAGATTTTAGAAACAGTTAATAAAATTCATGGAAGACTAAGAATTACAAAACCGACATAATTTTGAGGAACAAGAAAAGTACTTTTAAAAAATTTATTTCATATTAGAGTATCGTTGATTCACAATGTTGTGTTAGTTTCAAGTGCACAGCAAAGTGATTTACTTATACATATATTTATTCTTTTTCAGATCCTTTTCCCATATAGGATATTACAGAGTACTGAGAAGAGCTTCCTGTGCTATACAGTAGGTCCTTGTTTACTATTTCATATATAGTAGTGTGTGTATGTTAACTCCAACCTCCCAATTTATCCTGCTGCTTTCGCCTCTGGTAACCAACTTCGTTTTCTAAGTCTGTGATTCTGTTTCTGTTTTGTAAATAAGTTTGTTTGTATCATTTCAAAAGATTCTATATGTAAGTGATATCACATGCTATTTGTCTTTCTCCATCTGACATACTTCACTTAGCATGATAACCTCTAACCTTGTCATGCTGCTGCAAATGGCAGTGTTTCCTTCTCTATCATGGCTGAGTAATACTCCATTGTAACACATCTCAAGAAGGGATACTTACAATACTCAATTCCAAGATTTACTAATGTAAAATCTTATTATTAAGGTAGTATAGTATACTGATAGAGGGAAAAATAAGTCAATGAAACAGTATAGAAACTTAGAAACTGACTCTAGTATATGTGATAGTAAATATTACAAATCAGTAGGAAAAGGGCTAATGAAATACTGGCCATTAATACAGAAAAATATTAGATCTCTTAACTCACAAAAAAAACCCCAAAATAAATTCTTTATCAATTAAAAAAATAGGATAAAAACAATAGGAAAAATCTTTAAGATCTGATGATAAGGAAGAATTTTCTAAACAGAAAACAAATTGTAAGGGAAGACAGTGACAAATTTAATTCTATTAAAATTAAGAACTTCTGTTCAATGAAAGGTGATAATCTAAGCAAAACGCTAAGTAAGAGACAGATATTTCTTATGTCAGTTCAGTCGCTCAGTCTGACTCTTTGTGACCCCATGGACTGCAGCATGCCAGGCGTCCCTGTCTATCACCAACTGCTGGAATTTGCTCAAACTCATGTCCATTGAATTGGTGATGCCATCCCACTATCTCATCCTCTGTCGTCCCTTCTCCTGCCTTCAATCTTTCCCAGCATCAGGGTCATACCCAACGAGTCAGTACTTCGCACCAGGTGGCCAAAGTATTGAGTTTCAGCTTCAGCATCAGTCCTTCCAATTAATATTCAGGACTGATTTCCTTTAGGAGGAACTGGTTGGATCTCTTTGCTGTCCAAGGGACTCTCAAGAGTCTTCTCCAACACCACAGTTCAAAAGTATCAGTTCTGAGTGCCAAAGAATTGATGATTTTGATTTCTTGTACATAAAACATAAAAATGATTAGCATACAGAGTGGGATGTTATATCCTACTAGCATACATATTAGCATATAGTATGTGGGCCTCCCAGGTGGCAATAGTGGTAAAGAACCCACTTGCCAATGCAGGAGACGTAAGAGACGCGGATTTGATCCCTAGGTCGGGAAGATCCCCTGAAGGAAGACATGACAACTCACTCCAGTATTCTGGCCTGGAGAATCCCATGGACAGAGGAGCCTGGCGGGCTACAGTCCATGGGGTTGCAGACAGTCAGGCACGACTGAAGTGACTTAGCACGCATGCACAGAGTACATAAAGAACAACTATAAATTAATTATTAAAATGCAAATTACCCAATAGATTTAGGTAAAATAATGAAAAGGCAATTTACAGACAAGGAAGGTTGAATGATCAGTAAAGATATGAGATAATAACCTCACTGGCAATCTGCAAATGCAGTTTAAAACAAGATACAATTTCATATCAACCATGTTAAAAAATAATACACCTGACAAAGTCAAATGTTGATGAGGTAGAAAGTTGGGGCTATAAATACCAGTTTATAGGGGCAGTGGTAACAGATAGTCAGGAGTAAAGAAAGCAGAGTAAAGAAATCTTTAGGATGTTAAATAGAATTTAACTGGGACAGGGATTAAGGGAAAGTTAGAGTGAAGAATGATCCCAGTTTTATAGGGGATGTAGAGAACACGGAGGTAAGACTATTCAATTAAAATATAATGAATTTTTTTTTAGCCTGGGACATGTAAATAGAAATATTTAGCAGATACCTGGACATAACCCCTTGGAGCTCAGAGATGTTAAAGTATATTATAAATTTCATGCTCACCATCAACTGGAAGATTAGCTATCAGAACTTCATGTTCTTTTTCTGTGAGCTTAATTCCCATGTTTCCAAGAACTTTGTTCAGATCATTGACATTAATCATCCCACCTTAGAAAAAGAGAGAAAATTAAAATGAGGCAAATTAAATGACTTCAAAACATTAAAAATATAACTCTACCCATGAATTATTTTTCCAATAGCCATTATGACCTCAGAAATGTAATGGAAAAACAGTAATAAAAATAAATCATATTCATGACTGAAAAAGTAAGTAGCAGAGTTACAAATAAAAATTTCTCTTTTTAAAGTTGGGCTTGAGGGGGTAAGAGAACATACCATAAAATTTCTTAACGATTTTTAAACTAGAGCTTAAGCAACTAATCTTATAGGTTTCTGAAGTAACAGGTTATTTTTGTCACATAAACTCTCAGGTTATTTGTGACAAATTTCTAAAATAACTAACTTGCTATATACAAGTAAATTTGAAATGATTTTTTTCACCTGCTTGGGTAAATGCAAAGCTAGATGCAAAAATACAATAAAGAATATTATCTGATAAAATAAACATATTTAGGGATGTATAAGTAATGAATCAATAATATTCACAGTATAATGTTCTAGACTCAAGAATTTAACATGTATCTTCTTATCTTTGAGAGACTTTACTTCATCCAAAACCCTATTTTGAAACACCTGTCCAATAGCTGTAAGAAAAGCCAAATTCATGTCAGAATGAAAATTGTATGGTCATTCATAAAAGAGTATTTTGTATTTCATAATTCTATAAATATATATTTTCATAATTTTCCTTAAAATATTATTTTAACTAGAAATTTTAAAAATGAAGGCAGAAATAACAACTTGTAAAAAAGTGACATGTCCCTATGATCTTTGTTACTAAAAGCAATTGTGAGTTTGGGCTATGCTGAGGCATCATCATCACTGCCACCATTAAAGCCATCATTGTTACCACACGTATCACCACCATCATCATAATCACAACTACAATAACAGCACAATATATAACTTTTATTGAAATTTTACCTTATACTAAGCACATTTCAAAGTGCTTTATCATTTTTATCCTCTTTTTACAAATGGGGAATTTCACACACTGAGGTTTAGAAGAAACTTGTCCAAGATAACACAGAAGATAAGTAGTGGAGCTAGGATCTGAATCTAGGCATTCAGACACAGGATACTTTGCTCTCTACCACTCTGCTATACTGTTGTTTCCCATTTTTTAAATATTTACTTGTTTTTTTGGTTGTATCAGATCTTAGCTGCCAACACGTGGGATCTTTGTTGAGGTGCATGGACTTCCTAGTTGTGTCACGCTGACTCAGTTGTTCTGTGGTATGTGGGAATCTTAGTTTCCTGACCCAGAATTGAACTTGTGTTCACTGCATTGTAGGATGGATTCTTAACCAGTAGACCACCATTTTTTTCCTCTAACTTCTTTCTCTTCTTTCTACTCGTGTTTCACTCTTCTCACTTTCCTTTCTTTCCTGGCTTATAATTAGGTTTTATAATTAAGTATAAGTAATATTAAGTCAGGGCTTCCAGTGGTAAAGGTTGTGTAGGTGGTAAAGAATGTGCCTGCCAATGCAAGAGATGTGGGTTTGATCCCTGGGTTGGGAAGAACCTCTGCAGTAGGACATGGCAACTGGCTCCAGCATTTTTGCCTGGAAAATCCCATGGACAGAGGAGCCTGGTGGGTTACATTCATGGGGTCACAGAGTTGAACATAACTAAGCACACGCACACACAACATTAATTGCTTTACTCATAGCCGAAAGTTTTAATGACTTAAAAAGTAAATTTAATTGACAGTTATATGGTTTCTACACAGCCTAGAATTTTATTCTCTTAAAGTTCAGAAATTTCTAGAGGAAATTTCATAGGGAAGTTTTATAACTTCTCAAAAAGGCCACACAACTAGGCCATGAAAGGTCTGAGTGGCAACCATGTGACTCACCATTGATTGGTAGGATTTTCCTCAGCTCTGAGCATTCCTTATCTGTCAGCTCAGTTCCCATGTTCCTAAGAAGATTTGGAAGGTCATCAACATCAACCTTTTTTCCTTTGGAAAGATGAGGATATAGATATTTGAGAGTTTTATGGCTTACCTAATCATTTCAAATAATGAAATATTCATGCCTATGAGGAATCAGGGGCTTTCCTGGTGGCTCAGAAGGTAACAATTTGAGAACATGCAAGGGCAAAATGAAATATATCCATATCAGTTCAGTTCAGTCGCTCAGTCGTGTCTGACTCTTTGCAACCCTATGGACTGCAGCACGCCAGGCTTCCCTGTCCATCACCAACTCCCAGAGCTTGCTCAAACTCATGTCCATTGTGTCAGTGATGCCATCCAACCATCTCATCCTCTGTCATCCCCTTCTCCTCCTGCCCTCAATCTTTCCCAACATCAGGGTCTTTTCAAATGAGTCAGTTCTCCACACCAGGTGGCCAAAGTATTGGAGTTTCAGCTTCAACATCAGCCCTTCCAGTGAACACCTAGGACTGATCTGTTTTAGGATGGACTGGCTGGATCTCCTTGCAGTCCAAGGGACTCTCAAGAGTCTTCTCCAACACCACACTTCAAAAGTATCACTTCTTCGGTGCTCATCTTTCTTTATAGTACAACTCTCACATCCATACATGACCACTGGAAAAACCATAGCCTTGACTAGACGGACCTTTGCTGGCAAAGCAATGTCTCTGCTTTTTAATATGCTATCTAGGTTGGTCATAACTTTCCTTCCAAGGAGTAAGTGTCTTTCAATTTCATGGCTGAAATCACCATCTGCAGTGATTTTGGAGCCCCCAAAAATAAAGTCAGCCACTGTTTCCACTGTTTCCCCATCTATTTGCCATGTGGTGATGGGACCAGACGTCATGATCTTAGTTTTCTGAATGTTGAGTTTAAAGCTCATGTTATTGAGAAACTCAATAATAACATCAGAGATAATAACATGATTTTAAAATATTCCCCTTATCAAGCTACCAATGGTATTCTTCACAGAACTAGAACAAATAATTTCACAATTTGTATGGAAATACAAAAAACCTCGAATAGCCAAAGTAATCTTGAAAAAGAAGAATGGAACTGGAGGAATCAACCTGCCTCACTTCAGGCTCTACTACAAAGCCACAGTCATCAAGACAGTATGGTACTGGCACAAAGACAAAATAGAAAGCCCAGAGATAAATCCACATACCTAAAGACAACTTATCTTTGACCAAGGAGGCAAGAATATACAATGGACAAAAGACAACCTCTTTAACAAGTGGTGATGGGAAAACTGGTCAACCACTTGTAAAAGAATGAAACTAGGATACTTTCTAACACCATACACAAAAATAAACTCAAAATGGATTAAAGATCTAAATGTAAGACCAGAAACTATAAAACTCCTAGAGGAGAATATAGGCAAAACCCTCTCTGATATAAATCACAGCAGGATCCTCTATGACCCACCTCCCAGAATATTGGAAATAAAAGCAAAAATAAACAAATGGGATCTAATGAAACTTAAAAGCTTTTGCACAACAAAGGAAACTATAAGCAAGGTGAAAAGACAGCCCTCAGAATGGGAGAAAATAATAGCAAACGAAGCAACAGACAAAGGATTAATCTCAAAAATATACAAGCAACTCCTCCAGCTCAACTCCAGAAAAATAAATGACCCAATCAAAACATGGGCCAAAGAACTAAACAGACATTTCTCCAAAGAAGACATACAGATGGCTAACAAACACATGAAAAATGCTCAACATCACTCATTATCAGAGAAATGCAAATCAAAACCTCAATGAGGTACCATTACATGCCAGTCAGGATGGCTGCTATCCAAAAGTCTACAAGCAATAAATGCTGGAGAGGGTGTGGAGAAAAGGGAACCCTCTTACACTGTTGGTGGGAATGCAAGCTAGTACAGCTGCTATGGAGAACAGTGTGGAGATTTCTTTAAAAACTGGAAATAGAACTGCCATATGACCCAGCAATCCCACTTCTGGGCATACACACTGAGGAAACCAGATCTGAAAGGGACACGTGCACCCCAATGTTCATCACAGCACTGTTTATAATAGCCAGGACATGGAAGCAACCTAGATGCCCATCAGCAGACGAATGGATAAGGAAGCTGTGGTACATATACACCATGGAATATTACTCAGCCATTAAAAAGAATTCATTTGAATCAGTTCTAATGAGATGGATGAAACTGGAGCCCATTATACAGAGTGAAGTAAGCCAGAAAGATAAAGAACATTACAGCATACTAACACATATATATGGAATTTGGAAAGATGGTAATGATAACCCTATATGCAAAACAGAAAAAGAGACACAGATGTACAGAACAGACTTTTGGACTCTGTGGGAGAAGGCAAGGGTGAGATGTTTCAAGCGAACAGCATCGAAACATGTATATTATCTAGGGTGAAACAGATCACCAGCCCAGGTTGGATGCATGAGACAAGTGCTCGGACCTGGTGCACGGCAATATTTTTTAAAGTACCATTATAATCTCAGATAGGTCTCTTAAGCTAAAAAAATATTTTTCTATTATGATAAGTGATAGCTCCACATCTAGTCCCACTTTTCCTAATGGATACGTTGTCCCATGCAAAGAAAATAAGACAATGAAGATCATCTGCATATTCTTTCTGGTAGATTGAAAGTGATAAAAATTATAGAATGAAACAAAAAAATATTTTAGGGAACAGTTCTGTCCTACACAATGATGCAATTAAATGCATCTTAATAAGATAAGCAAGTATTAATTCAATTAAGATTGTAAAATAGTCAGGAAATGTTTCAAACACTTAGCCTCACTGGAGTGATATCAGGTTTATATCTTTAACTTTTGTTTATTTAGTTTATGAATTAATTGAGCCCTAATGTGAAATTTACTGCTCTTTAGAGTTTGTCTCCAGCCCATTGAGGGAGATTAGAAGTCTGGGAACATAGTCCTTGGACCACAGAATCTGGTTCAGGAATATAAGGATGCAAGCAGAAGCATCAGTGGCTGAGCATTCTTGCATTCCTTGCATGACAGCTTGAATTCTTCATTGTCCTTTCCCTTGGGGTATCTGGACGACTCTGCCCTTCTCATGTGGTGTAGGAAGTAAGTCCCACACTTATCACTTCTCCTTTATTCTGCTGTCCTAAAGTCCCTGGAAATAATGGTGGTGATAGAACTCTTTTTTTTTTTTTTAAGTAATTTCCCACATTTGGCTTAGTTGTCTCTTCTATTAAAAAAAAAATTCTTGTGTTAAAGGGAATGTATACCATTCCGTTCCCCGCACAGTACTGTCTTTCTCTGGTTCTATCCAAGTCTAATAGTGGCACTGGCCATATTCTCAACTGAATCAGAATTGCTGGAAATATCAAGGGACAAAACATGTTTACTTTCTTTTTTAGAAAAATGTTTATTTTTTAATTGAAGTATAATTTCTTTACAGATTTTTGTTGCTTTTTGTCCAACATCAACATGTTAATTTTCTGTCTTGAGTCATCTTTACTGTCTTCTGTCTCAATGTCAAGTAAGAGTTTTCAGAGATTTCTTTTATAGAAGTCCATATTCTCCAGACACCCTGAGCAATTCAAATATGTCTTAAATACTTACCATCACCTAGTAGATTGTGTGTCAGATTACTAATTTCTTTTTCTGTAAAGTTCATCCCCATGTTTTGCAAAAGAGTACCCACTTCATTGACATCAATAATCTTATCTTGTAAAAAGAAAAGCATGTACAAAAAACTTACTGGTTCTACAATGTGACCATTGATGTTACTTATTGTGCATTATGATTACAGCTTTGTCTGTATAGTCAAAGGTTTGGTTTTTCCACTAGTCATGTACAAATGTAAGAGTTGGACCATAAAGAAGGCTAAGTGTTGAAGAACTGATGCTTTCGAATTGTGGTGCTGGAGAAGATTCTTGAGAGTCCCTTGGACAGCAAGGAGATCAAACCAGTCAATTCTAAAGGATATCAACCCTGAATAGTCATTGGAAGGACTGATGCTGAAGCTGAAGCTCCAATACTTTGGCTACCTGATGTAAAGAATCGACTCATTAGAAAAGACCTGATGCTGGGAAAGATTGAAGGCAGGAGAAGGGGATGACAGAAGACGAGGTGGTTGGATGGCATCACTGACTCAATGGACATGAGTTTGAGCAAACTCCAGGAGATGGTGAAGGACAGAGAATCCTGGTGTGCTACAGTTCATGGCGTCACAAGAATTGGATGATTTAGCAACTGAACAACAACTTCTTCATCCACCTTATCAAGAAGGCCAAGATTTAATAAGGTCTCTTCATATATATATACCAAGGCAGTTAATAAGGATATTAGAATTAGAATTGATATATTCAAAATGGTTAAGCAAGTTCTTAATTATTTACAGCAAATGGTAAAATAAATGAAAATGAGTAAAGTTTACTTTTCTTTTCTGAACTCCCAGATTAGATACCTTAACTCCTAACAAAAATTGACCAGCAAGTTGTTTCCATTCATTTGGATGACTATGTTATTCAGACCCATCTTACTGCTTAAAGCAACTAAAATCTTGAATAAAATATAACAAGCATCATTTTGAAAGCAATGAAGAGCTGAAAGAGAGTAAGGAATTACTAGTCCAAAGTCTCATGAAAAACAGGAAGCTAGGCAGGTAAGCATACTGCCAGGAAGAGGCATTTCCTCTTTATCCTGGAGCTTCTTAATGAGTTGCTCACAATGTTCATGGGCACTCTTACTGTGCACACCTATTGAGGCATGCATGTATGGCATCATTTATATCCATGGAGGCCCAAACTACAACAAACTGGGCACAGCATCATCATCACATTATCTAATTTTGACTCAGAATAATGCCAGTCTATATTGAATGTGGAAGATTTTTATGTTCAATCTAAATTTGAAAGAATAGTTGCTATTTCTGTACCAAAGAAAATAAGAAATAATGGTGCACCATATACCTTCATATTTCTTCATGTTGGGGTTTTTTGACTAGGCACAATAATAAGCAAGTACATACAATAAGTACTCTGACCACATAAGTGATTTCCAAACCCTAAGAAATCAATTCTCTTCTCACTTGGGAATATATTACATAGAAGATGGAAGATTAAAAAAAAAATACAAATATCCTACTAATAAAAGTCACACAGAAAGACATTCCCAAAAAGAACAGCCAGACCTGGGGGAAGCCATATACTTATGTGTCTCGGGGAGGGGAATGAGGGCCTGGGGTTAGACCAACCTATATTGAAACATGATAAAGCTGTCATATTCAAGGAAATTTAGTATTAGTGTATGAATAACTAGACCAATAGGACAGAATATGAATTCCCAAAACAGGCAAGTGAATATAGAAACTAAGTATATAGTTAAGATGGCATCTCACATTATAGGGAATGAAGATGGAACTTGAAATAAGCAATTTGTGACAACTGTTTTTTGTTGTTGTTCAGTCACTAAGTTGGGTCCAATTCTTTGTGACAATTGTATAGCTATTTTCAAAAAGATAAAATAGATCGTATTTCCTGATAGAAATCAATGTAAAATGTACAGTATCACATATGAAGTATTCTTGTCAAAAAAATGTTAAAATTGAAAATAATTAAACCATTAGAGCTGACTTCTAGTTATAGGGAATACATAGGCTAGAGGAACAAGACAGATGAGAAAACAAATTTAGTAAGTGGGATATTCTACAAGACAACTGGCAACAGACACAGTTTCTTCAGTAAATTAGAACTTTAGTAAAAGAGAAGGAGGAAGGAGGATCAGCTTTATATTCCATGAGATTCAAGTGTCTTAATAGATACAGGGTGAAAACTTTGGTGTTTGACTTGAATAAACTATTAACAACTGTAAAAAAACTAGAGATAAGTAAGAAAATTTTAAATTAAATTATATAATGGCATTGCAGTAACATAAAAAATGGTCTGTATTTTTAAGAGATGCATACTGAAGTACATAAGAACAAAATGATGTTGGAACTTGTTTTGAACTATTTCAGTCCAAAAAATAAAAAAAAAAACAAGTGTAACAAAATCTTCCTACTTGTTCAATCTAGATGACAGGAACATGTGAGAAAGAATAATTATATTATTCTATTACTACTTTTGTGTATGTTTGGAAATGCTTATTATGCCCCAAAAGTGGAAAGAACCCAAATGCCTATCAACTGATAAGCAGATAAAGAAAATAATATCCATACAATGGAATATTATTTGGCAATAAAAAGGAATGAAGCAGTACACTCATGTTCATAGCAGCATTATAAACAACTAGAATGTGGAAGCAACACAGTGTTCACTGATGGATGAACAGATAAGCAGAATGAGGGATGCACCTACAGTGGAATATTATTGAGGCTTACAAGGCGGGAAATTCCAACATATGCTATAACATAGGTGAACCTTGAGGACAATATGCCACATGAAATAAAACAGTCATTCCACTTATATGAAATCAGAGGGATAAAAAGTCATAGGGGCAGAAACAGAACGGTGGCTGCTAGGGGCTGGGGATAAGGGGCAGCGGGGAGCTTTTGTTTAATGAATATAAAGTTTCAATTTGCAAAATGAAAAGAATTCTGGAAATGGATGATGGTAATGGCTGAAATTAAAACTCGCTTACTCCTTGGAAGGAAGGTTATGACCAACCTAGATAGCATATTAAAAAGCAGAGACATTACTTTGCCAACAAAGGTCCGTCTAGTCAAGGCTATGGTTTTTCCAATAGTAATGTATGGAAGTGAGTTGGACTATAAAGAAAGCTGAGCACCAAAGAATTGATGCTTTTGAACTGTGGTGTTGGAGAAGACTCTTGAGAGTCCCTTGGACTGCAAGGAGATCCAACCAGTCCATCCTAAAGGAGATCAGTTCTGAGTGTTCACTGGAAGGGCTGATGTTGAAGCTGAAACTCCAATACTTTGGCCACCTGATGTGAAGAGCTGACTCATTTGAAAAGACCCTGATGCTGGGAAAGATTGAAGGCAGGAGGAGAAGGAGATGACAGAGGATGAGACAGTTGGATGGCATCACAGACTCAATGGACATTAATTTGGGTAAACTCTGGGAGTTGGTGATGGACAGGGAGGCCTGGCGTGCTGCGGTCCATGCGGTCGCAAACAGTTGGACATGACTGAGCGACTGAACTTAACTGAACTGAATGGTTGTACAATAGTATCAATGAGCTTAACACCACTGAACTGTATACTTTAAAATGATTAAGATAGTAAATTTTATGTTATGTGCATTTTATCACAATAAAAATACTGAAAAAAGGCAAAAAATAAGAATGAATTAACTGATACATACAATACATATAAACCTGTACATACTAAGGGAAATAAGCTAGTCACAAAACCCACATATTATACCATTTATTTGAAATGGTAAGGCAAATCTACAGAGACAGAAGATAGATTAGTAATTACATAGGGCTTGTAGGGTGATAGCTAAAGGGCATGAGATTCCTTTTTGGAGTGATCTGGGTATTCACAAAGTCCTTTGATAACTCTACTAACTATAATATAATTGTAGTTAGTCACAATAAAGTAAATTATAATCTCAAAAGGGACGCCCACTGGCTCACATTAGAAGGACATGAGGGTAGAATGAGAAGATGACAGAAAAGAAACTAGAAGAAAGCAAAAAACTTTACATTTTGTATATAAAACTGTTTTCCCATTATGTCATTGAGAACTGAATAGACTGCAATGGATTATAAACTTCCCTGAGAACATGGGCTCCTAAATGCAAGTAAGACCAAATATTTCTTACAAGAATAGAAGATAGTTAACTCTGTGTGGGATAACTATGACAACACTCTGGTATTAATAATTGGTATGAAGAGTATAATAGTAAGCAAATAGTTGAGGCATCTGTCAATAGGCTACTGTAAGTACCAGCCACTAGCACTCTTTTTGTTTTTCTCTCATTTTGAATAGAAACTTCTTTTATTTATTCTAATTCTTTCATTAAATATGTATTATAATTTGTGAAAGGTACTAAGATGAGGGAGGGATAAAGATGTAAAATGAAGATCCAGGTATGGTCTCTGGCAAAAGAAGCTCACATTTTATAGACGAATGGTACTCATTTGTAATATAATGAGTTAGAGTTGAGTGAAGGCTAACTCTCAGGATTCCAGCTTATATTACTAAGATAAAAATGATGGTACCAAATAGTGAAAAAGTATGGAAATACAAGTCAAGTTAGGGTCCAGAGTTTCTCAATTACTGAACATGCAATTGGTATTATCTGTGGAACAATTCTTCAGTGTGTTGAAAAGTCCTATTAATTGTAGAGCACTTAGTATCCCTGGCACTCATGCATGCGTGCTCAGTCATGTCCAACTCTTTGTGACCTTATGGACTGCAGCCCACCAAGATCCTCTGTCCATGGGATTCTCCAGGTAAGAATACTGGAGTGGATTGCCATGCCCATATCCAGGGGATCTTCCTGACCCAGGGGTCAAACCCACATCTCTTGCATCTCCTGCATTGGCAGACGGATTCTTTACCACTGTGCCACCTGGGAAGTGCTCAAAGAATTTAATACTAATAGTACCCAATCTTAAAATTACCTGTGACAACCAAACGTGCCCCCAATATATTTCTAAAAGCCCCATGTGGCTGCTTTCATTAAGTACCACAGTGATAATTATGAACTCAGTTACTGACAAAATCCATGATGTCCGAGGGACAGCATAGAAATGTCCTATAGAAATTAAAATATACCAATTCAATATTTGGG